TGACAACTTGCAGCTGTCTTTGTGTGTGATCTGGCCTCAAGTAAATTTAACACTAGAATTAAAATTGTCACTCTAATCAATATTTTCCATTTTTAAACTCTCAGTTTTTTACAGTTGTGGGAGGGATACCCTCAACAAGAAAAGTATCAAGGAAACAATGGTATCTAGGATAGAAGCCTAAGAATGAATTGCAGTGGGCAAGCAATGACAGATATAACTTGCTCTGCTGCATATTTTCCCTGTCTGCAGATGTGTCCCTTTGATCTCTATTAATGACTGGATTGCATTTTCTCCATTTAATTGTTTGTGGTTCTTAGGAATATGACTGTACAGTAGTGGAAAGACAATAAATAGGCCATTATTATTCCTCATTAAGTTCAGCTTTTCTTATTAAAAAAAACTGTTAATAAAAATACTCTACTTGTCTTCCACCACAGATCTTGTGGGAAAAGGATGTGGGGCAGGCATCCTGCCCAACAATTTTCCTGGCAGCATATGCAGTTTTCTTATCTAATTCCCAAATGAGCAAGAGTCCAATGGGCAAAAGTAAAAGGTGGATTTATTTTTAAGAATATGTTTCATTTTGACTTAGATTTCTGTCTTAGCTTTTCTAAAAATCTCAGAGCAGTTGACAACAAGATATATGACGTGAATCTTTCTTCCACCTCAACTTGTTTAGGAGTGGTATGTAAATTAGTCTTCTGGCTGAGGCTGAAGAGTGCTTAACATATAGGTTCCTTGCATGAATTGATATCAAACACCACGAATAACAAAGATTAGCAAGCCAGTGGGAAATAAGCAATTCCCAAGTATCCAAATGTTTATGATCAGCTCCTTTCTCAACAACAAAAGACAGCTTTTGGAACTACCTTCCCATAATAAGAAGTTTTTGGGTAAGGAGAAAGATACCTGATAACAGGATGTTCTCTGTGAAACCAGACCTTCGGTATGAATCTTACTCACCAATAACACATACAACTTTCTGCAAGTAGATGTCTGGGCATCTTCCCCACAAATTGAGATGAAAGGTAACATTAAAGGATAGTACTAAAAAGTAGAGTTCAAGAGAACATAAAAAATGGCTTTGAGAGGCTAAATGAAACAGATTTTGACTGAACTGAACTTTTGCTACTCATGGATGATTCAGTGCAAAATCAGATATTTTTACTAAGGACTTCACTAGAAAACTTTAAAGGCTTGTTCTACGTAAATCCTCAGCAGGCAGAAGGGATAAAGGTTATTGTGAATAAGTTCCCTCCCTCTTTTCTTTTTTTACTCAAAAGGTTAAAAAGTTACTTCATAAAACTTCCAAAAGTTATTCTCCCACAACATGAAATGAAAAGGCCACAACTTATGCTTAGGACGATGTTTATGCTCCAAGTCATAAATATTGCCCTGAAGCACTTGGCTTTGTCCTGATGTGTTCTTGAAGAGTTCTGGATTATTTTTAAAATATTATATAATTAATAAAGTTGAAAATACACCTTTAACAAACTAAAATAATCCAACAGAGATTTTGTTTGCAAAGCTTATGATAAAAGGCTTGATTTACAAAAACTATAAAGCATACCACAACTTTCATCATAGAAAACTTGACTGATTACGTGCCATCGAGTCAGTGTCGACTCTTAGTGACCCCATAGATAGATTTTCTCCATGATACAGAAAACTAAATACTGTATAGTAAAATTATATTCCTAAATTAACATTTTAACTTGCATCAGCAAACACTAGCTTTTATTTTTAATCGATTTACTCACTTAGATGTTTTTGTAGCCTATTACTACATTTTGTCAATGTTTCAAACTAAATAATTTAACTGCTTTTGTAGTTGTATACGACAATAATTTCACAAGAGGCTCCAAATTCATTTGCTTATCTATCCTATCAAACTGAATGAGAATTCAATCATAACCAATAACTCGCTGGGGGAGGGGGGGAAGCACAAAAAAAATTGAAAAAGAACATGCATGAAAGATATTTTGAAAAAGAACATGCATGAAAGATATTCATGTCTTTCTAACATGGTGCAGATATCTGCAGATAACATGCTGTAAATTTTGTGCTTTTTTGATAAAGAAATAAACTGCCATCTAGTGGTTCAGTTGCAATCTTTCAAATTTTAGGTATATACATCATACCAAGCTAATTGTGTCTTATTCAATAAACCATGGTTAACTGAACTTTGGTTTAGGGATCATTACAACAAAATTATAATATCAGTATTTTAACTTGTCATACTTAGAGACAGAAGAAAGCTGCTAGATAAAATTAAGGCTCTCATAGAGTTCATGGAAAACATGAGATTTTCCAGCTTACACTTTCACTCCCCACCCCAAAAAACAACAGTTTTTTGACTATGTATTCTGGAACATTTTCTCAAAACTTTCTAAAAATGTTATTTCCTCTGCAGCTGAGAAGAGTTGGCAACATGTCCAGCTGCAGCCGCAGGAGCCAACATCAGCACATACACAAATACAGCATTTGTTCTGTCAGCAGCAAGCTAAAGGCATTAAATGAATATATAGATTTTTAGTAAGGTCCACAAATCAGTTAAGTTAAGAAACAATTTGGTATGACAGATGAAAGCCAGAAAATACAGGAGAACAGCAGTTTGGGAGAACATAGAAGAGAAACCAATTATTTCCTATTTGCTTCAGCATATGAGAATGGTGTAATAGTATAGGTTGGGTGGGGGGATCAGCAAGCTATGAAGTCATGCGACCTTCATCCTGATCTTACATGCAATTCTGCCAAGATTGAGGGAAATGTACATGGCAAAACAACTAGGGACTGCAGCCTATAATGCCTGATGATTTACTTGGTTAATTGTTCTACAGAACAGCGTTCTTTTTCACTTTTCTTTGATAACATCAGTTATATCAACTCATGAATAAGTTTAAATGAACTTCTGCAGTAAATATTATATTGAGGAATTTTGGTATATCTACTTATACTAATAAATATACAAAAACTTCAAGTTCTTCAATAATCCTAGAAGAAACTAACATACCGTCAACTTTTTTGTTTCTCCCACTGTTATCAAGTTAGTTGCACAACACAAGTTAGGAATGTTGAACTGTAAACATGCATCAGTATTAATACACAATTATTAGGCTTTTGAGCAATTTTTCCACTTGGTGTGAACATTTCAAAATACAAATAACATTCATTAATAAATGTAAAGAGTTGAGCTTATCTTCTGAGGATGTCAGGCCCAGCCCAAGAACAACAGTGAAACAGTCCAGTTGAGTTCAGTTCCTTTATTT